GTTAGAATTAGCAAACATTTTCTATAAACATAGTTCAACCCTGGAAGAAAGACACACACACACTTTATATGACATGACATTTGAGTGCTTGATAGGAATTATAAAAAGGTATAAAATATTAAATCCAACATTCCCTCTTTTGAACTCCCATATTCCTGGGAGTTCACCCTCTTTATGGATTTATCAATATGGACACGATGCAAACTTACTGCACTCCCCAGGGGTCCTGGACCAGACCCCTGATCCAACACCTGTGAAAAGTACCACACACATAAACCTTTATAAAAATACAAAAAAGCGGCCACACCCCTCCTAGAGAAAGATAAATGAGTGAAACTCTATTTTAAACCACCTTTAAAATACCTCGTGGTATTTTAGAATGATTAAATGCCCAATTGAATGGAGTAAAATATTTCAATATTTAAGTTAACTGAATATTTAAGTTAATAGTCAAGTTAAGTTTATAGTCAAGTTAAATGAATAGTTAAGTTTCCAATTGAATCCACGACCCTCCTCTGGTTGTTTTTCAGAATGACTGAAAGGTAAGACAAAACACTCATATTAAACAGGAAAAGCCAACACCCTCAATTTAAACATTTCTATCTAGCAGGTCTTCGGTTCTTGGAGGTTATGGAGTATGGGTGTAATATGTTCAAATTTACGAGCTCTCAATAAAATCCTGGCTGCACTGTTTTGAATATATTGAAGCTTCTGAAGGTTTTTGCCGGGTATTCCAGTAAACAGGGAGTTGCAGTAGTCGAGCCTGGAGGAGACAAAAGCATGGATGAGTTTCTCTGCATCAGCAAAAGTGAGAGATGGGCGCAGTTTGGAGATATTTCGAAGATGGAAGAAACAGGTTTTAAACAGATGCTTAATGTGATTTTCAAATGTAAGATGAGTGTCCATTTTTATTCCAAGATTTGTAACAGAGGTGGAGAGTGGGATGTCTTGTCCAGAAAATGAAATAGTCGTTATAGTTGAAGTTTGAACCTGGTGAGGGGTGCCAATCAGTATGGCCTCTGTTTTGGAGCCGTTTAACTGAAGAAAGTTCTGATTCATCCATGCCCTTATCTCCTCCAGGCAGGTAGAGAGGGCAGCGAGTGAAGATGTAGATGACAGTGGTGAAGATGATGCTCCGGTCCTGATGTAAAGCTGTGTATCGTCGGCATAACAGTGAAAAGAAATGTTGTACTGATTAATAATTTGACCTAAAGGCAACATGTAAAGGGAAAATAGCAGGGGGCCTAAAACTGACCCTTGAGGGACACCACAGGAGACACAGACAGTCTGGGACTTGGCATTGCCAAGACTAACACATTCCAGCCTATTGGAGAGGAAAGATTTAAACCAGTCCAGGGCAGTGTCACAGAGACCGACCTCCACATGAAGACGGTGGAGGAGGATACTATGGTCCACAGTGTCAAAAGTTGCAGTGAGGTCAAGGAGAACAAGGAGGGAGGGAGAACCAGTGTCAGCAGCCATGAGGACATCATTGGTGACTCTCAGCAGTGCGGTCTCAGTACTGTGAGCTGCACGGAAGCCAGACTGAAACTTCTCATACAGGGAGTGTTGTTGTAGGTGGATCTGCAGCTGGGCAGCAACTGCTTTTTCCAGAACTTTTGACAGAAATGGGAGGTGAGAAATTGGGCGGTAATTAGAAAGAATGGCTGGATCCAAATTAGATTTTTTCAGAAGAGGCCTAATGATGGCAGTTTTAAGAGGCAGTGGAACTTGACCAGATTGCAGTGACTTACTTATTATTTGTGTGATTAATGGGCTTATTGCAGAGTGATTGGATTTAATGAGAGACGAGGGGAAGGGATCCAGGGCGCAGGATGAAGGCTTCATTTTCTTGATGATGGTCTCCACTTCACTCAGAACAACCTCATCAAAGCAGCTCAGGGACCCAGAATGCAGACGGGTAGATGGCAGATGAAGATCAGGGAGGCTATGGAGCTGAGATCTAATGGAGTTAACGTTGTTTTTAAAAAATTTAAGGAACAGGTTGCATTTTTGAACAGAGTCCTCATGAGACTGTTTAATGGGATTAAGGAGATGATTTATTGTGGAGAAGAGTTGTTTAGAGTTTCCAGGGCAGTTGTTGATGATGTTAGAATAATATTTGGACCGTGCTTCTTTAAGAGAAAAGGCGTAGGCTTTCTGATGTTCTTTATATGCCTGCTGATGTACAGAGAGACCAGATGATTTTACACGTCTCTCAATAGCACGGCCAGCTGCTTTCATCTTACGCAGCTCAGCAGTGTACCAAGGGGCTGAACGGGAGAAAGACACCAGCCTTGCTTTAAAGGGAGCATGGAGGTCCAGAAGCTCCTGGAGAGATTGGTTGTAGTAATCCACAGAGTCATTTGCAGATGAATGATTGACAGCAGTCAGGGAGTGGAGATCAGAGGACAGAACCTCAGGGGAAATGTTTTTAAAGTCACGGAACTGGATAAGTCGTTTAGGATTAGGAGCAGATGAAGTTGAAGGCACTTCCACTGTGGTCTGAGACACCCAGGTCATATACAGATAAGTTATTGATAGGTACAGTGTCTGTAATCACCAAATCCAGAGTGTGCCCCCTGCTGTGCGTAGGGGCGTCAACATACTGAGTGAGATTGAGAGAGTCCAAAAGAGACTTAAACTCTGCTGCCAGAGGGGAAGAAGAATTATCAATGTGGATATTTAAATCTCCAAGAATAATATTTTTCACAGGAGATGCGCAGAAAAAAGTGAGGAGGTCATGCATCTCTGAGTTAAATGAAACGTGGTTTGGGAGGCCGATAAATCAATATAACATTCATCAGGAGGGGGGCTTTGAGGTTGAAGGCCAAACATTCAAAAGAAAAAAGTCCCGAGAAGCTAAATGTGATCATTTTAAATTACTGCGGTAAATTACAGCCAGACCACCACCACGGCCAGTGCAGCGGGCTTTCTGCAGATAACTGTATCCAGAGGGACAGGCTTCATTCAGAGAGCTGTACACATCTGGTTGATGCCATGTTTCAGTAAGGCACATGAGGTCCAAATTCTTCTCCAGAATATGATCATGAATAAGACATGATTTATTGGATAGTGATTGAGCATTGAAAAGTTCTATTTTAATAATGGTTGGAATAGAAGCCTTTAGAAGAGGTTTAAGCAGCCTGAAGTCCACTCCACGTTTTCCTTGCCACTTCGTGTGCTGTGTTCTTTCAGCAATATCAGGGACTACAGAGGCAGCGTTCTGATGACGTAATCGATGTGCGGCAGGACCGGTAGACCAGATGGAAGGGATGGAGTCAGACCCAGCTTGCCGAGAGTAAACAGTTCTCTTCTGAGAGCCTCTATGGACAAAACGATGTCTACGCAGAAGACCCAGTTGTTTAATGGTAGAAACAGAAGGTGGGATGGAGCAGTTGTTGAGTCCAATCAGCTGGGAGGCGGAGTAGGTCAACATCGACGAGCCAGCCAAGCCGGGGGAAGCTAGCACAGAGCTAGCCGCTAACAGCAGACCCACAGCTCCAAAAAGGATATCCAAAAGGCAGTGCGATGTAATCCACAGCATAGCACAGGAAAAAATCCAGCAAAAGAAGACAAACTGGAACAATCCAGATGACACAGGAGGTTGACAGAAGCAGCAAGGTAAGCGCAATAGTTGCTAGTTCTTCAAGCAAAGTCTGAGCCGCTGTGCTGGAGTTGTATGTTTGACAGCAATAGTCACAAATTCTTGTTAGGGAGTGCTAATTAAGCTGTCTGTTATAAGTACTGATTGAGAAATTACTGAACAAAAATAAGTCGAGATAAATGTCCACGAATATAGCAACAGTATAAAGACTCTGGGAACAGCCTATTCGTTCAGCAATTTCTTTCTGTGTCTTACCCTCTTGCTTGAGGGTGTCAATGATGACCTTCTGGACAGCAGTCAGGTCGGCAGTCTTACCCATGATTGCGGTTTTGAGTAATGAACAAGGCTGGGAGTTTTTAAAAGCCTCAGGAATCTTTTGCAGGTGTTTAGAGTTACGTCGTTGATTCAGATGGTTAGGTTAATAGCTTGTTTAGAGAACCTTTTCATGATATGCTAATTTTTTGGGACAGGCATTTTGGGTTTTCATGAGCTGTATGCCATAATCATCAGTATTAAAATAATTAAAAACCTGAAATATTTCAGTTGGTGTGCAATGAATCTGAAATATATGAAAGTTTCATTTTTATCATTACATTATGGAAAATAATGACCTTTATCACAATATGCTAATTTTTTGAGAAGGACCTGTATAAATATACATATTCATATCTAAAAAAGTTAAATCTGGTCCTCTGGACATTCAAAAAAAACAAAAGAAAGCAAATCAACAAAAAAATGTAGAAACGTTTCGTCTCTCATCCGAGAGACTTCCTCAGTCTGAGGAGCTGTATTCAGCTCAGTCTCTTAAATAGCACCGTCTCAGGGTGGATCAACCAGTTTTGCTGCTGACAACCAAAACCAGCTGATCACATGCTCAAGAAGGACCATCAGCATAACAATGGATCATTAGCACACTGATGGCTGTTTACTGTTCACAGAGGGCTGAGTGATACTAGCAATCACAGCATTGTAAGAGGGGGACAGTTGAACCCGGAGGCCTCCACCCCTGTTTAATGATGGACGGTTTCTTTTCACAAAGATGGCCTCCTTTACTCCTCTCTCAAACCATTGTTCCTCTCTATCCAGGATGTGAACATCTTCATCCCTGAAAGAGTGACCGCTGGCCTGGAGATGAGTGTAGACCGCAGAGTCCTGGCCTGATGATGTTGATCTTCTGTGCTGGGCCATCCTTTTGGTCAGTGGCTGTTTTGTTTCCCCGATGTAAGACTGATCACAGCCCTCCTGACACTGAACAGCATACACAACATTGCTCTGTTTGTGCCGGGGGACTGGATCTTTGGGATGAACCAGTCTTTGCCGTAATGTATTTTGGGGTTTAAAAGCCACTGGGACGTTATGTTTAGAAAATAAACGTCTCAGTTTCTCTGATACTCCCTCTGGTGTGCAATGAATCTGAAATATATGAAAGTTTCATTTTTATCATTACATTATGGAAAATAATTACCTCTACCACAATATGCTAATTTTTTGAGAATTTTTTATATATAGGATAAAGAAGAAAACGATCTTTGAATTTTTTTTGTTTTATCATGACAGTTGTTTTGTAATTTATATTTTATTGCACTCATTTGTTTTCTTTGCCTCTTGCTTAATTGTTTTACTAGTTTGTTGGGGGAGGAGCCAGAGTGAGGGTGTTCATGTGCTGTTAGCCTGAAAACAATAAAATAAAAACTTGTGCAACAAAATATTTATAAATACTTTTTTTCTTCTTTCGGCTGCTCCCTTCTTCACGGGTCGCCACAGAGAACTAAGTTGCACAAAGACTTGGTGATTGTTTTTACGCTGGATGTCCTTCCTGACACAACCAGACCACCGAGCTACCACAGCCCTCTGTGTGGAGCAGAGAGCTGCTATCTAGGGTGCCCGGGGGAGCAGATGGTGGGGGTTAAGGGTCTTGATCAAGGGCCCAGTGTAGGGCAAATGAGGGTGTAGGCAGGTGTTGGTGCTTCACCTATCCCACCCACATTTTGATGTTGTTGGTACCAGGAGTTGAATGGGCGATCTTCCGATCACAGACCCACTTTCTCTAACCTCTGCGCCACCACTCCCACATACATAATTCTTACAAAATATTTGTAAAAAGAAATGTTTAGAATAAAAAGGAACAATCTTACATCAAGAGCAACTTTGCTCATGTATTTGAGGCTGTTTTCATGTTAACAGTAAACCATACAAAAACATTTAATACAAAAGAAACATTTACAAAGGTGTGTTAGTTTGATCTAAACATGAATTAGGTCATTTGCATTCAAATTAAAACTGTGGAATTGTAGCCAACAAGTGTTGGTTGGTTTGAAAGGTGCAACATCTCACCGGGTTCATCAAGGTCATGGTACACGTAGACATGTTTGAATGAATTCCTGGGGTTCTTGCTTTGCTCGGTGCTGTAGAACACCAAAGCAAGAAGGTCCCTGTAACTACTTTCGATTTTATGGATGTACACATTCCGTACAACCTGCAACACAACATTTGACATTCACAGTGAGAAAGACAAACATTTCCAGAATGTTTCAAGATGTTTCCAACTGTTTTGAGTGGCTACACCCACACAAAGAAGAAAATAGGACATATAATGGCACACTAACTACTTCACCTCCATGGTCATGTCAAAGTTTGAAGGCTGCCCATCTTCACCTTTGATGAACATTTCCTTGGATGCATCAACCAAGAACACCAAGCTGTCTCTTCCAGTAGCCTTGTATTCTCCTGTCAGACACAGACCTGGCTTACTTTAATGTGACTTTAGTAATTCAGACAGTAGTTTAGAATTTCCAGATCCTATCTGATAACATCTGTCAGCACGCTGCATGTTAAAAAAAATTAAACGTACAGCTTCCATGTGGGGTTGTACCACACCCAGGATGTAAAACTAGTAAAGTATGAAATTACGGTGAGTACTATGAAAGTTAACAGGAATTAATGGATAAATAAATGTAGCTATGTATGACTATCTAGTGTTATTAAAGGTACCAAGGCCCTGAATGCTGAGTCTGCTTTGTTTTCCTGTTTATAGGTTTTTCCAGATGTTTTTGCAATCAAACTACTTCTTTACATAACGTGCTATTTCAGCCATTCATATATGACAGTGTGCAGCTAAGCAGGAGATTGCTGCCATGGCCACAAAAAGAGAAAACGCTGGAAAGGATAGCCTCAGTACAGTGTAAGAAAAAAAGGTGTTTGTGCTGCCATTTTTGTGTGTACCAACATTGTGATTCTTAGATCTGGCCAGAATAGCAGCAGACCATTTATAATGAATTAAAAACCTGAAGCCCAGCAAAGAAAATCAATATTTTGCCAATAATTATTATAATTGGCTGAGCCTGTACTTTAAAGACTGTGGCATTACATTTCATCTGTATTATATGAGTTCTGCACGTCTGTCAGTCTAAACTTTTAAAGACCAATATAAAAGTTTCTATAAACTTGTGCCGTTTTATTTTACTGTAATTTTTATTGTTATTTTTAATGCATTACCAATCTTTATATCTTCTTTATATCTGCTCTCTTAGGTGGCCAAAAAGCTACAGACACTAGCAGAAGAGCTATGGTTGGACTCACCAAGAAATACTACAACTTAAGAAAGGATATGGTGGCCATAAACTGAGGCCACCATGTGAGCAAACCGTAGTATGCTGGTTCAATCCAAATTTTAAGTCCCGCCCTTTTGTGTTGTTAAGATATTTCTTATTTAGACTGGTCCTATGATTTTGATCTGCTCAGAGACGGGATTATAATGAAATTATGACCCGGTTCTGATTGGGTTAAACTGGGCCAGCAGCTCTCAAGAGAGTCTCCCTGGGATTTCAATATCAGTCAAATACACAAAGTTTGTTTTCTCAGTCATCCAGGTATATAACAACAAAAAAGGTTGAATCATGTCATCTGGACTTCGTTTTTTTT